AGCTCCTTCCTCAGTCAGCTTGTCTTTCATCAACCACCGTGATTCTCTCCAATGAGGAATCTGGCTTTGAGAGGTACTTTGAGGTCATAACAAGCAAATCCCAAAGGGGTCTAATTCACTCTCAATATGTGCTTGTAGCTCTTGACAAGATTACAAGCTATAATCCAAAACCAAGCAATCACATGGGCAGTTTTCAGATGATGTCTCTAAGAAGGATTGGCTTTTAAGGAAGGATTTAATTAATTTCCACACACACAAAGTATTCCTTGCACCTTATTTGAAGAATATAAGCAGCAGCGCTCTATGATTTCTTTAGACTGTGTGACTATGAATAATATCTTCTTGATTCAAGCCCCTCTTTTTGCTATAGAGAGGGGTTGGGAGAGGAGGAGGGAAATGATTTTAAAATCATATTTTTGAATTCAGTTCTTAAAAAATGAACTGTTGGGTGTGGGGATGAATGAAACTGGAAGAGTAGCAGTAGTTCCTCTTTATCAAACAACCCAGGTGTGTGAGGAAAAGAGGAGTTATTTGAGTGTACCTCACACATGGACAACAGTGGGTCATTACAGGGTGTGCCTCCTATGGAGACTAAGGTGACAAGACCATGACTCACGACTTTCAGAATGAGCCAATGGCTGACTGGGATCAGCAGAGCTGCCATTTGAGGGATGCCATGGTTCAAAACATGGGCCTATTTTCTGACATCAGTAATTCCAGTGTAAACCCACAGTAACTCCATGGAAGTAAATGAAGTGACTCCAGATTTATTTTGGTGTAACTGACACCAGAATCAGGCCTATTAAATTCTGATGAAAAAAGGAACCTCTGCTCTGAGGGCCAGATTTTGCCCTGGGATCTAGATACACAGCTCCCTTTGGGCCACATACTGCTTGGTTATGTCAGCACAATGCGGTTGACTTCAGTGATGTAACTGAGAGAATTGGATCCATTGGCTTCCATGTTCATCTGAAGACAAAATTTGGCCCCAGTGGTCACCCTGATGTTACAGCAATTATGAAAATTGGCTGTTGGGCTGGGAGTCCGGGTATTCATTAAAACCTGGTTAGGCCCAAACTATGATCTGCTGTAAAGTTGGTATAATCTGATGGCGGCATCTCCCGTGCTTGCTAAAGAGCTGTTTAAACCATACAAAGTATCCATGGATTGAAAAGTAAACAGCTACCATTTTGGTGGGCACAGCCCAAACAATCAAACAGGTATGAACTTCACCCTTGTTGCTGCATAAAAGCAAACTCAGAGTTCCTATTTCAAGAGCTGTTCGGAATCCCACTGACATCGTTCTTGAGGCTGGGAGATGAACACGGAGAAGGGAATGGGAGGGAGAACTGGTACTGAGGCTGGTCCTGCAGGTCTTCAGTATGGGGG